TCCCAGGGGGGAACAGGTAAAACAGGCATTTCAAGAGCCCCCCCCCCCCAATCTCCCTTGGTCAGGCAGTTTGTGAGCCCATCTGAGACAGCTTTGCTCCTCCTGACCAAGAAGCAGAGGACGGGGCTTCAGCCGCTGCTCAGCCGGCCATCCTGCTTCTCCTACTCACTGCCCGGCACCTTCCTGCAGCCAGGAGACAGACGAAGGTCGTCCAGAGCGATGCTGCCTTCCTGCCCACTTCCAATCCTGCCCTCCAGGACAATCTGGGAGAAAAACCCAGGGGATCGATGCAGGGTCAGGGCCAGAGCCTGGGGCCTCCCACTGCCCGTGCCAGCCAGCTCCCCCTGGCAGGTTGGGGCACCTGGCCCCAGGGCCTCCGGGCTTCCTGGTCTACCTTGAACTCCTTTTGGTTCACGACATCCACTTTCTCCCGGAACCAGTAATTGCCCAGGTCTCCCGTGCGGCTCCAGACCAGCTGCAAATCTTCTGGCGTCTGGATGTAGACATTAAGGCTGTTGCCGCTTGAGCCACGCAGGTGGAGGTAGAGAACCAGCTGGGGAGAAAGCCAGCCAAAAGCACTGGTTAGGAGGGAGGGAAGGAGGGGCACCCCAGCCTCCCTTTCATCTCCAAGCAACTCCAAAGGGGGGCGGGGGGGGGGGGCTGTGGGTGACCAAGGCTTCTGGGAAGCCACTCAGAGGTCTCCTTCTGGGGGAAGATCCCCAGAGTCAGAGGGGGATTCAAGAGAGAGAGGGAAGGGGGCTGCTATTATTGGTGATTATTAATTAGAAATGTCAATATTTTTTTTCTTTTTTCTTTAGATTATCTTAGATTTTAAATGGTCATTTTGTTAACACATATTAATAGATTGATGTTTAGAGATTGTTGCTTTTTCCGTATGTGGAGAGGAGAGAAAAATGTAAATGACCCTTAGTTAACTATAATAATAACAAAGATATGTTAGAGAGAGGAAATATAAGATGTCCTACTAATTGACTTTATTTTTTTTTAGAATATGTTATAAAGATATAAATATATGGCATATTAATTGGAACTGGGGGAAGGGGAAAAAAATGCCAGCAGGTGGCTGTGTTTTTGAAATCTTAATTTAATGAAAATTGTGGTATGGTGATAGTAAAATATATAAATTTTTAACATATACAATTTAAACTGAATGGCATATATGTGATTGTGGACAGAACGCACGAAATGTACTTGTGACCAATGGATACGCTTTCTACAAAATGTAATGAAAGATGATGCTTTTCTTTTTGTGTTTTTTTCTGTAATAAAACTAATAAAAAAATTTATTTTTAAAAAAATGAAGAAATGATTTGGGACAGAACCGGAGAAAGAAAGAGAACGTTGGGAAGAACATTTAGGCATGTTAGTGACGCAGCCAAGGGGAGCGTGGAAAGCAATGCTTTCAAGCAGGGCTCTCCAACCTTGGCAACTTTAAGCCTTGGCGGACTTCAACTCCCAGAATTCCCCCGGCCTGGGGAACTGTGGGAGTTGAAGTCCACCAAGGCTTAACGTTGCCAAGGTTGGAGAGCCCTGCTTTAAATTTCTGGCGTCCAAGATGGAAACCACAAAGAAATGGAACAATAAACACAGTTGGGGGATATTTGGACACAGATGATAGTCTGATTGTGGTTTGCTTCTGATGTGGCTGAGCCACTTTTGGGAGGGACATGGGGAGGTTTGCACCCGCATTAGGAAGAAGAACGGACAGGCCAAAGGAAGAAATCGCAAGCAGTCCTCGGCTTACGGCCATCTGCCACTCTGGGCGCTTGCTTCTGTCCGTTGGCATGCGGGGTGGGGAGGGGGTGGCAGAGCCCCTTTAAGCAGAATGGCTGCCCCCAGCTATTCAGAAATGCCCTTCCTGTGTTCAGACTTCCCAGTGTTCGAATTGTAGTTAGGCCCCTTGTAAAACGTTTGGTCTTTTAAGATCTTGATTGATTGATTAGCCCTTGGGCCATATCGAAGTGCAGAGTTCCAGAAACAAATCATTACTAAAATTTGATAAAAGCAATTTAAGATGGAATTGGATAAAATACGGTTTAAAATGAAGTTGGAGTAAAATACCGTATTTTATCATACGACGTGGTGGCTCGGTGGCTAAGATGCTGAGCTTGCCGATTAGAAAGGTTGGTGGTTCGGATCCCTAGCGGCGCGTAACGGAGGGAGCTCCCGTGACTCGTCCCAGCTTCTGCCAACCTAGCAGTTCGAAAGCAGGTAAAAAATGCAAGTGGAAAAGTAGGAGCCACCTTTGGTGGGAAGGGAATAGCCTTCCGTGCGCCTTCGGCATTGAGTCATGCCGGCCACATGACCACGGAGACGTCTTTGGACAGCGCTGGCTCTTCGGCTTTGAAAGAGAGATGAGCAGCGCCCCCTAGAGTCGGCTAGCACATCTCTGCCAGGGCAACCTTTTACCTTTATGATAAAATTGCATTTCGGTGTCACCCCTGCAATCTACCCCAATCAGTAAAACTTTCCAGCAATTGCAGGAGATCAGCCTGATCCTCAGCACATGAGGGGGGTCTCCTCATACAGGCAGGCCTCGACTTACGACCGCCACTGAGCCCAAAATTTCTGTTGCTAAGCAAGGCAGTGACTTTTGCTCAATTTTACAATCTTTCGGCTCCCGCGGTTGTTAAGTGAATCACGGCAGTGGCTAAGTTACTAACGTGATTGTTAAGGGGATCCGGCCGCCCCGTAGACTTGGCTTGTCATAAGGGCCACTGAGACCCGTCGTAAATGTGAGTCGGTGGCTGACTGTCTGAATTTTGATCACGTGACCATGGGGGTCGCTGCAACAGTCATACATGTGAAAAACGCTCATCAGCTCCGTTGTAACTTTGAATGGTCACTAAGCGAATTTCTGTAAGTCGAGGACTGCCGGTACTGCCTGAATCTAGGCTACAATACAAGCCTTTGCATTTCCTGGTGGCCTCCCATTCGGGCCCACGCCGAGCCTTCCCATTCAGCCAAGGCCGGCCCGTTTCTGCCAGCTTAGCAGGGCAAATATTCCGAACACGCCCTGTTAAAAGCAACACCCCCACCCCACCCCACCCCTCTTTCGAGGGCACCCAAGCCTTCCTCGGCTTGTTTATCACCAAACCCTCCTGCTAGGATTAAGTTTAAAGTCCTCCTGATAAAACTCCCCTGGCTTCAGTCAAACACGTGACTAGTCCTCATGAAGGCCGGCCATCATCCAGATAAGCCAAAGCGTGATCCAGAAACTAAATTATTTCCACTGAAATGGCACTCCTTCCTCTGAAGGAGAGAGAGAGCCAGGCGACTTTACAACCTGGGGACGTCAACTCCCGGAATTCCTGAGCCAGCTGGCAGGACAAACTGGCCAAAGGAAATATTGGAGCAGGATTCATAGCCTCACCCGGAAGATTCTCAAGGTGGACATAAGCATAAAACCAGAGACGCATCTTTTAGGTCTAATGGATCAGGAACCTGGGGAAAAAATGGAACTTAGAGGTTACACAGGTTGAAGG